TTAGAAACTATTTTTGGAATTGTGGTGTTTTTCATTTTTGCTGTATGTTTTTATTGTTGTAGGTTTATTCTTTGATTATATTTTGTCTTGATTTATTATATTGTTCTGTTTTTATGATACTGTAAGCCTTTCTGAGAAAGGCAGGAAATGGAATGATAGTGAAATCTTTGTGTTCTTTAGCATCCTTTTGAAAGAGAAACGCCACCCAGTTTATGCTCTTTATGCTGAGAGAGTGGTGTTGACTTTCACTTTATCATCATCCACGGTGCCATGGGCTGACTTCAACACTTTCAGAGTTGACCTTCTCCTCCATTTTCGTCTCTCAAGGTGTCTCAACTATTTGCTGAAGTTAGTAGTTCCACAGGCCTAGCAGAACAGGTAAAGGGACCCCTGACCATTAGGTCCAGTCGTGACCGACTCTGGGGTTGCGGCACTCGACTTGCTTTATTGGCCGAGGGAGCCAGCGTACAGCTTCCGGGTCATGTGGCCAGCATGACTAAGCCACTTCTGGAGAACCAGAGCAGTGCGTGGAAACGCCGTTTACCTTCCCGCCAGAGTGGTACCTATTTATCTACTTGCACTTTGATGTGCTTTCGAACTGCTAGGTGGGCAGCAGAAGAGGGCAGCCCCAAAATAAAGCCTCCTGCCCTGCCAGGAAAGAAGGGGTAAAGGAAGAACTACACCAAAAACAAGGAGGGAAAGGTTGACAGCGGGGTCTGCTGCCCTTGTGGACCCTGCCACCTGAAGCAGTCGCCTCATGGGTGGGCCGATCGTGTAACTGAGGCCAAATTAACAATACCATGTATACCGATCAAAGCAGTCAAGCAAGCACATTGCATATTGTTTCAGAAAGTATGAATTAGGTAGGTTCGCCTTTAAATGCAAGCATAATAGAATTTCTCTCTGTCCCTAGTGTAATGCAAACCTGCAGAGCTGCACTCCCAAGGATGTTTCCCAAAAGTTGGCTCTCAGTGGAATTGGCCCACAAACTTAAAAGTGTCCCACATGGCATTGCAGACCGACTTGCAGTGACCCGCTTCCCCAGGGAGCGAGGCCTGAGCCACGAAGGGGAACAAACTGGACAAGACCACGTTCATTCCAACTGTGAGTGGTCACCCTGCTGCAGTTTTCAGACCCCTGTGGCAAGGAAAACTATTGGTTGCATATGTTAATCAGAATTAATGCAGACAAACAACATAACATGTATTTTCCTGTAGGTTCTGACAAGCAACATACAGGCATACAATAATGAGTTGAGATACTTGAGAGGAAAGTCTATAAAAACTAATTCACTTTCAAATATCCAGCAATATTTATGTTAACAAGAAGATATAGAATGAGAAGATATGGGGGGTGGAGCACAATAGTGGTAGCTGCAATAAGAACAAGCACATCTTAAAGGCGTACTTGGCCAACATTAACACCATACATTTAAAGCACTATGATGCCATGGTTTCCCCCAAGGAATTCTGGGAGCTGTGGTTTGTCAAGGGTGCTGAGAGTTGCTGGGGGGGCTTCCTTCAAATAGCTACAATTCCCAGGGAATTATGGATCATGTTAGCAAGTGATTTTAACAGTACCTCGGGTTAAGTACTTAATTCGTTCTGGAGGTCCGTTCTTAACCTGAAACTGTTCTTAACCTGAAGCACCACTTTAGCTAATGGGGCCTCCTGCTGTCGCCGCGCCGCCGGAGCACAATTTCTGTTCTCATCCTGAAGCAAAGTTCTTAACCTGCAGCACTATTTCTGGGTTAGCGGAGTCTGTAACCTGAAGCGTATGTAACCTGAGGTACCACTGTACTAGGCTTAAGGAAAGTATATTTCTCAGGTCCATTAAAATATCTTTCTTTACTCCTCCATGTAAGGTAAAAAAAATATGACCATGTTGGCAGATACTGATTAGAACAGTGATGGCCAAACTTGGTCCTCCAGCTGTTTTGGGACTACAATTCCCATCACCCCGACCACTGGTCCTGTTAGCTAGGGATGATGGGAGTTGTAGTCCAAAAACAGCTGGAGGGCCAAGTTTGCCCATCACTGCATTAGAAGAACACTAAACTGAAAGTATAGAGGCAAAGCGTATGGTAGGTGAGAGAATAGCTAGTTTAATGAAAGTGCAACTGCAATCTATTACTCATTCATAATATTTCTATGAGGCAATAATTAAGAACAAACCATTGAAGCAGCAAACACTTAAGGTTCATTTAAACAGTATGAAATGATGCACTAAGCCATGGGTGGGCAAACTAAAGCCCTGGGGCCGGATCCAGCCCAATTGTCTTCTAAATCCGGCCTGCGGACAGTCCGGGAACCAGTGTGTTTTTACATGAGTAGAATGTTTGCTTTTATTTAAAATGCATCTCTGGGTTATTTGTGGGGCATAGGAATTTGTTCATATTTTTTTTCCCAAAATATAGTCTGGCCCCCCACAAGGTCTGAGGGACAGTGTACTGGCAACCTGCTGAAAAAGTTTGCTGACCCCTGCACTAAGCACTAAAGCAGAGACTTCTGGGATCACAATATCTATCTATTTTGGTAGCTCTTAATGTAGGGTACCCAAACCGATTTGGATTAGAAAATGCATTTGTTTGATTGGACTCGGATAAGCTTGCATTATAGATTGGTGATATTCACCCAGATTCATATTCACAACATGCACAGAAAAAGCTCTGTGCAGCTTGTCGGAGCCCCTGGAAGGGGTCCTCTGGCCAGCTTAGCCCTCCGAGGCCAGGGGCAAGTGTGCTTGGCTGCCTCCCATCGCCACCCCACTGCACAGGAGGCTACTTTTTAATTCATATAATAAATGTCTGGTGCTGGATACATTTGGATTAGGTTAAAATAAAATCTTACTGAGGTCCATCAGAGCTTTATCATAGACTTCAGGGAGGACTGGTTTTCCAGATAGATTTTCATGCACAAGAAAGTACTGTATTTTCTGGCGTATAAGACTACTTTTTAACCCAGGAAAATCTTCTTAAAAATCGGGGGTCGTCTTATACGCCGGCTACAGCAGCAGCTCCTACAGCAACTCCCCACCAAAGGATAAAATGACAGCAAATTAAAGTCTGAAAAGTTTCTTGTGAAGGACTAAATTTCCATCGGTTAAAATTACAAAAACCCCCTTGGAAGCAGGAGAAGAGGGGGAAAATTTTAGATCGTTTAAGCCTGCAGGAGAGAGAGTAAAGAAAGATAAATTTCTACCGTCTCGAACCTGGGAACGGGCTGCCAAGAAGATAGACGTTTTGGGAAAGTTCATTGACCGTGAATAAAATGTATGTTGACAGATAGTTAAGTAAGAGAAACATATTGATTCCAATGTTTCCTTTTGCACTTAAAAGGAACAAAATAGTTGAAAAACGAAGGTAATTTTGTTGCTAGATCTGCTTCTAAAAGGACGGATACAAATAGAAATTGTTTCCCCTAGAGGGAGCTTTTGAAATTGCTGTTGGAGTGGACCTGGGAAACTCTCCAGCTGTAGAGATAAAAGATCGTGAGAAACAGACATTGACCTTGGACAAAAATGTCGACACAGGAAGCCTTAGTGTCTGCTCTGTGCAGGACAAGTGCTTTGTTGGAGCAGCTTCATGTGAAGATGGATTTGATGATTATTGCAACTGATAACTTTGGACAAACAGTGAACACCTATATAGAAACCCCTCAGGAATTGACCCAGGAATCTGCATTGATAGGGCAAGCTGAGGAGAAGACAAAGGAGGAGGTTGTCGTTGAACCTCAAGTAATACAAGTGGAGAGAGCCGTGGCCTTGCAGGAATATAAGCCGTTGCTTCTGATGCCCGAACCTGGAGTGAGCAATATCTGGAGAGATGGAGTCCCGGCTGGATTGGAGATGGGAAGTTGGATAGATCCCCCTACGCAGGTATGTCTTGACCTTTGGGATCTGGTTTTGGACCAGGGAGAGACTGGAGCTGTGGGGGCCTTTAACTTTGGAGGGACATTGAAGCATGCTTTGAAATTTCTTTTGGATTTTAGTGCTGTCCATGGAGAATGGGCTGACCTGTCGAGAAGGGCTAAAGACATTGTTAGGTTGGAGTTTCCCCGAGATCTGCTCCCTAGTGACAAAGGAAGGAAATTAAGAATAAGATCAGCAGAAGATAAAGCAAAATGCAGGTACAAATATGAAGAAGATCTGCAGAAGGGACATGGAAAAGAGTTAAGAGCCTCGGATAGAAGATCACCAGGTTGATGGACTAGATGGAATAGATAGAAAGGACTGACAGAACCCGAGACCAGGAAGAAGAGACGGTGGATGAAGATTGGAAGAAAGTTTAAAAATTCATTTAAAGAAATATTGTAAAGTTAATGAGTATTAGAAAAATGTTGGAATGAAACTATTTGGCTTTAGTAGAAATGCTATAAGGAGATAAGTATAAATAAGTTTTAAGTTTTAGGGTTTTTTATGGTAAGATAAGGTTAAAATAAGTTAATTAAATGACAAAATATAGTGAAAGATAATTAATAATTTGCTGAGATAATTAATAATTAGAATACAAAAAAGGGAGGTGTGAGGAGGTCGATGAAACAAGTTAATGAAAGATAAAGATGTGGGAATAGTGGATTTGTTTTTTAAAAAATTCTTGTTTTTGCTTTTGGTGTTGATGTTTTGTGTGTTTTGTATTTTTTTTTCTTTTTATTGACTTGTACTGTTTAATTACTTTTTTCTCTTTTTTTCATTTTCTTCTTCTGTAATTTTAAATTCTCAATAAATATCATTTTTTAAAAAAAATGACAGCAAATTAAATCAGAGGACACCAAGCTCTCTAGATGAAGCAGAAATATGCTTGAAAATTGGCCCCAGAAGCCCCTGGCCGCTGGGAAGTGGAGCGGATTTCTGAGCCAGACTGGAGACTGGTTTTTTAAATTTTTATTTGGTGTGCGTTGGAAGAGGGGTAGTCTTATACGGCGAGTATATCCCAAACTCTATATTTTAACTGGAAAAGTTGGGAGGTCGTCTTATATGCCCAGCCGTCTTATACGCCGGAAAATATGGTACTATGCATACTGCTTTAGCTGAGATTCCCGCATTCTAGGGGGCTGGACTAACTCTAAGATTCTATGAAGTTTTCTGACTTTCTGCATCTCACCAAATTTCACCCCCCAAACTGCTGCAGTGTATCTTTCATCCATTGTAAAGAAATGCCACAAAGGTCACTGAATCTCTAAGCTAAGCTACAGCCGAGATGTGTTTACAAAACCGAAAGGCGTGTGGATAAGTCTGACAAACTGGCATGGCAAGAACTGGGCATTCATGCTTTTCAGTAGAGTTACTGATGGGACATTATCCTCCAGGACATTTCCCTGAGCTGGGAAGCCCTGGCTATGTAACTTCTTAGCAAGGACTGTTGCTATGAGGCGGTTGTACCCTTTCCTGCGGTATTCTGGCAAAGTATAACCATGGATCATAGTAGCAAATTGGTCCGTCAAACCCCAGGCAATGGGGCAGCCCCCTTCATCCAGGACGCAGGTGCTAGGGAAACAGGAAATGAGGCTGGCAAGGTATTTTCGGCATTGTTCGCTTCCTCCTCGGGACCAGGTGCTGTTCAGCAGGCTGGCATGGGAGACTTCGAGCGAAGCAAGCTTGGGTGGAGGTACTAGCCTAAAAAAGATTTCGCCGCTTAAAATGTGCTGTAAAATCCATAAGGTACACACAAAAACAGGGAATACATACTAAGGGGCTTATCCTCTGCTCTTTCCAGGCACAGTGAGCACTTTAAAGCTCTGTTTCTGAGTGCCCTTCATTTAAATAATAATAATAATAATAATAATAATAATAATAATAATAATAATAATAATAATAATTTGATTTATACCAGGCCAGGGCCAGGCTCAGGGTGGCTAACACAGAATATAAATTACAATAAAACATATTAGGAAAAAAGAAGAAAAACCAGTTAATTAAAATACGGCTTAATATACAGCTTAAAATGCAGCCTCATTTTCGTAGCAGCCCATAAATCAAGACCATAAAGGGAGGAAACATCAGATATTCACCCGAGCCAGTTATCCATGCTGGTCCTACATGGGCCAGCAAAAAAGCCAAGGGAAAATTTATACAGTGGATGCGAACAGGATCTGTTCCGGAGCCCCGTTTGCATCCTGAAGCGAACGCAACCCCTGTCTGCGTGTCTGGCGATTCGCCGCTTCCGCGCATGCGCATGACGTTATTTTGAGCGTCTGCACATGCACGAGTGGCAAAATTCGGAAGTAACACGTTGCGTTACTTCCGGGTCGCCGCAGAGCACAACCCAAAAAAGCTCAAGCTGAAGCTACTTCAATCCGAGGTATGACTGTATACCAAATCCCATATAAGGGGTCAGAGTGAGTCCAAGCCAAAGGCCAGGTGGAACAGCTCCATCTTGCAGGCCCTGCAGAAAGATGTCAAATCCCTGGTCTCTTGTGACAGAGTGTTCCACCAAGTCGTGGGCCAGTGCTGAAAAGGCCCTGGCCCTAGATGAGACCAATCTAACCTCCTTGCGACTTGGAACCTCCAAAGTGTTGTTATTTATGGACCTTAAGGTCCTCCGTGGGGCATACCAGGAGAGGCGGTCCCGTAGGTATGAGGGTCCTAGGCCGTGAAGGGCTTTAAAGGTCAAAACCAGCACCTTGAACCTGACCCTGTACTCCACTGGGAGCCAGTGCAGCTGGAATAGCACTGGATGAATGTGATCCCGTAGCAAGGACCCCATAAGGAGCCTCGCCGTGGCATTCTGCACCAGCTGGAGTTTCTGGGTCAGCTTCAAGGGCAGCCCCGCGTAGAGCAAGTTACAATAATAAAGCCTGGAGGTGACCTTTGCATGGATCACTGTAGCCAGATCAGGGCAAGAAAGGTAAGGGACCAACTGCTTAATACGGCAGAGATGGAAAAATGCCACCTTTGCTGTGGCTGAAACCTGCGGTTCCATGGAAAGGGAGGCGTCAAAGGTTACACCCAAGCTCTTGACAGAAGGCACTGGCACTAACTGAGCCCCCACAAGTGACGGCAGTTGGCCCCCCAACCCCATGTCATCCTGACCCAGCCAGAGGACCTCTGTCTTTGAAGGATTTAACTTCAACCGGCTCCCATGCAGCCATCCAGCCACAGCTTCCAAGCATCTGGTCAGTGTCTCCGGGGCCGAGTCAGGGTGTCCATCCATCAACAGATAAAGCTAGGTGTCATCAGCATATTGATGACAACCCAGCCCAAAACTCTGGACAACCTGGGCAAGGGGGTGCATAAAGATACTGAAAAGCATTTATCTATTTATCTATCTGGAGTTCTTCCAGTGAAAATCTGCCCTTTAAAGCTCAATCCGTGGGAAACCTGAACTGACATTTGCTCTGATTGAGTGCTAAAGAGCTGGCTTTTGAGGAGAAAGCTCTGGGGCAAAAAAGGGCTTGGGCACAGAGCTTTTAAGCACAGACCAGTGCCCGGAAAGAGTGGCCCAAAAGGCAAGTGTGGATAAGCCCTACGTGAGATGGGTGGGAATGGAAGGAAAGAAGACAAACAGAAGGGGAAAGTGGAGCCAGTAGGCGATAAAGCCTATCAGATATTCCGCGCTGTCGCTCCCCACCTCAGCCTTTAGGAATAATACATATAAGGATCCTACTAATACAAGTCCATTCTTAATACCAAAGGTGAGTTTGAAGGAATGCATCCAACAGAAACAATGCATTCTTTGCTTTCACACCTGCAGGGTAGCAATTTTGTCCGTGGAGTTGCTCCTGGAAATGGTTAAAAAATACAAAAAAGGGAATTCTTTTCTTCATCTGACACAACATCTTAATTTAGAAAATGTGGTGATCAGAGCTAGGGGAAGGAAAGATTCAGGAGTGCATTTTAAACCTTCTTGTTTAATACTATGCTGTGTGTCACCCACCCAGCCTTCCTTCCAACCATATTTTACACCTGACATTGGCCAGTGAATCTAGTAAAAAACAAACACAAATGAGATTCTACAAGCCTGAAATCTGCCCCCCGATGTTGCAAAACATTAATACAGAAAAGGACAGGAATCAGCAGACTGGGTGAGGTGGGGGAATCCTTCAGTGAACTGGGGCATCTTCACCCACCTTCATAAATCAGTGTCTAATTTTGGCACATATTTCAAGAGCGGCATTGCTGTGGAAAATAGTAATGATATGACTGAACATACGGGAGTTTAACCTCAGGAAGTGTATCAGGATCTGGATGGATAACCATTTGGAAACAAGACCGCTTTACATCCACAAGCTTGGAACTAGCTACAGCTTGGGAAGCGTCGTATAATCCATCCTGCAGTCCTGCGTGCAAATAAATGAGAGAATAAGCCTTTAAAATGCAAGATATAAGGAAATGGACTAATCCAGTTTAGCCAAACTAGCTAGAGGTGCTGTATTGTGTCCCACAAAATACTTTTTTTCATTTCTTTAGAAATGCTCCTTTTTCACACTCATAAGACAGAACCCAAAATTCATTTTGATGCTTTATATAGATATTTTGTGGCACCTGTACTGACAACCAAATTTACATCCCTCACTGAATGATTCAGATTAAAAGTTAAATTCATTTCGTTTTGTGAGAAGGTACCCTGGGGCGTTTAAACAAACAGCTGAAAGAATCTAACACAATGGTTTAAATAAAACAACTTGTATACACATTTTCAATAGCTGCAATCATCACATTAAATTCCCAAGTGCAAAACCAACCATGTCTGTGTGTGTGAGAAAGAGAGAATCACTTTGCTGCTGGCCACATAAATAAGCAAGTGTTTATGTGAAAGCCTGCAAGAGACTTACACCATTTAATTTCTGCTATATTTGCACCATTCATTCGATAATCTTTAGAGCACAGCGTTTGATCTAGATATTCTTAGGATATTGCAGGTACAACATACCCTGGCAAAAATCTAGTTTGTGACAAAGGACACATTGCTGAAATTCTCAAGTCTGTGCCACTAATTCTTTCCACACTCTGACAATATTGCTTGGAAATCTTTCTTCAGAAGTCAGTCACAGCATTGGCCCATCCTTATTTCCAATACCCAGCAAGAAATAAGCTTTACCTTGTATTTGGAAGACCTGCTCCCAGTTTACAGTGTCTGGGTTCTCCAGCAATGCTTGATATGCTTGCTGGTCCTTGTAGAATGCAGCATAGGCATTGGTAAAATGGTCCAGGTCATCACTTTCAGCCTATGATTTTAAAGACACAAAACCCCTAGTTCATCCCATTATACACACAGATACATAATAGTTTTGTTGCTATGATCAAAACTGTGATGTGCCACAGGGCTCAAATCAGGAGGCCTGGTCAAACGGCTGGTCAAGTGAAGAGAACGTAGAATGAAGAAACAATGGCCAAAAGCCTTTATTTCTTCTCAATAAATGAGTTTTGTAGCGATTCTCATTAGGCTTCCCATTTCAAATTTCAGGAGTAAGGAAGTGAGCATGTCAAATATTAACAGCAAGTTTCAGCAATCATTTGTATATAAATCAGGAAAATTTGTATATAAATCAAGAAAACTAAATGAAAAAGCTTGTTTGCTTTAAGGACTCATGTTGAAACTTCTATTGTCAATTAAGTGTAGTTTATCATTATCTATGAACCTAAACTGTAATCAGTCTCAGCTGTGATTTAGGGCAAACAAGCCAGTATAATAAAACATGGTTTGAAGCTAGCCTGACTCCCTAAACCATGCTTAAAACTAACTGGTTTGTTCAGCTTCAGGCATAATAAAAAACGGAAGTGAAAGCTTCTTCTCCCCTCATGCTCATTGTTATGTACTGAGTTGAATAGGATCCAAATTGCAGCAGTCTGATTGGTCCTAGAACAATAGGATTCAGAATGCAGCAGTCTGATTGGTCCGCAGGAGCCACCCAATCCGACTCCAGGTGGAAGTGAAGCCGCAACCTGATTGGCCTACAGGAAAATCCCGGAATTAGCCAATCACATGGGGCCCATTGTGTAAATAATGTATATAAAGCAGACAAATAAAGAGCATGAAATCCACACTCAAGTCCGAGTATATTTAACTCACACTGCAAGAGAAGAGGGGAACTCACAAATCCATGGCTCTTTTAAGCAATGCTGAACACCCAGCACCTAAATGTTGTGTGTATGGGGGGAGGGGAGGGAGATGGAGAGAGAGCACACTAGATTATACCCTTTACTATACCGTTCTCTGCCGGCGGGTAATAACAGCTTTAAATTCTGGCCATGAATCCACCACCACTTCCTTCCTGAAGGGGTTTCCTCTGTTTATATTTAGCACTGCTCCATAAACCTTCAAAAGGAAAGATGAGCTGTTTAGAGGTTGGAAAAAATATTGTTATGAGGGTCAGTCTGGATGAAACCCTAAGTCCCTTCCAAAACCTGTGATCCTGTATCAGTGAGGCTAGATTGCATGAGGGAACCTGGAAGATCAGCCAAATTAAGTCATTTGGCTTTCGCTGGCCAGTTAAGTGCTCATAAGCATCCGAAAATATGAGCCAAGAACCGTGCTCTCCACAAAGGGGGGTAGGCATTTTCCCCCACCTGGCTGGATGCCAGGTGATCCTAGGCAGCAGAACAACAGAGCTGTTTTGTATAAGAGCTGGAAGCTGGAGGAGACAGACGTCGGCCTCTATGCTGGACTTTGGTGCCCATCTGGAAACCTAATAGGGAAGCAAGATCTGTTGGGGTGTTAATGCTGCGAGTGCCCCCATCCTATGCTCAGGTTGGATATATGCAGTGCTTTATTTCAGGGGGGACGCAGACCCCTAAACATTTTGTGAATCTAAGTATGGCCTCAGTGAGGGGCAGCATTTCAATATGAATAGGAAAATGAGAGGACCCCTAAAAAATTTTTTTGAAGAAGTAAAAAGCACTGGATATATGCATAATAGGGATGCGGGTGGCGCTGTGGGTTAAACCACAGAGCCTAGGACTTGCCAATCAGAAGGTCGGCAGTTCGAATCCCCGTGATGGGGTGAGCTCCCGTTGCTCCGTCCCTGCTCCTGCCAACCTAGCAGTTTGAAAGCACGTCAAAGTGCAAGTAGATAAATAGGTACCGCTCCAGCGGGAAGGTAAACAGTGTTTCCGTGCGCTGCTCTGGTTTGCCAGAAGCGGCTTAGTCATGCTGGCCACATGACCCGGAAGCTGTATGCGGGCTCCCTCGGCCAATAAAGCGAGATGAGCGCTGCAACCCCAGAGTCGGCCACGACTGGACCTAATGGTCAGGGGTCCCTTTACCTTTACCTATATTCATCACTGCCTAAGGAACTAAGAATTAGGCTGCTTTAAAAGGTTGAGTTAATTCCCTCTCTCTTCTGCAAATGTGTTTTCAGAGAACCATTGTAGATGGAAGCAAGATCTTACTGACATTTACGGAGAAAAGAGGACAGAGAGGATGGAGGCCATTGTTCTTCCCCTACGCCCATGACACTCTGCAAGCCAAAGGCTTGGCTGCAGTAATGAGCTCAAACGGAGGGAAAACACAAGGGAGGGAAAAGCAAGTTTCCAAAAGCAACAAACTGAAAGGAGCCTTTAAAGATGTTTCAGAAGAGTGAAAATTCTGACGTTTTCCAGAAAAGTTGTGTATGTTTTACCTGAAATGAATCAGGCACAATTCTGTATCAGAAACGATGGTGAGTTTTTGTTTTGTTTTTCTCAGGGAGTAAACATTCGGCTTTCTTGAATGCTTCAGCTTACAGAGTTAAGCATCACCTCACTTGATTTGCTGGCTGCAATTGAGACCTCAGTTGAACGTGGGTACCTGAGAGACACCAGCATAATGGAGCCTTGCACTTTTCATTCAGAACTGGCACATACCTGCAGAGCATAATCACTGCTACCCTCTCTGAGCATCTATGTCTATGCATGTGTTGCACATTTATGACGAACTGAATTTATAGGGTAGATATAACATTTCATCTTTATGAATTTTCAACAGGTCTCCATTAATCACTGATGCCAATGTTTGAAGGCAGGAACAAAACCAGCCTGCCATTTTGCATCAGATTATTATTATTATAACTGTCAACCCCCTGATAAAATTCTAATGTTCATTATCATAATACTGTAGTGATCATTTTGTAATTGTTTTATGCAAGTTTAAATGTTGTTCTGGGGGTGCTAATATAAATATAAAATGCATTTTTATTTAATAAAAGTATCCATCTTTTCAAAATCCATCCATCTTTTCAAAAAGACAAAAAACAGCCCCCAACTGTATTTCTGCATGGAACACAAGTACAAATTCAGGTCTAATAGCAAAAATCTGTACTCCATCATCTCTCTAAAAGATACACCCTGATAGTTCAGACTTTCAAGCCCATAAATAAAGTCTACGTAGATTTGCATTACCTTGAGTGATTCAGGAAAATTACTGAGTAATTTGTGTTCCAGTATTTGCAGCTTTGTAGAACAGTTTAACACCAGCATCTTGCAACCTTCATGCAAACATAGGTGGCCTACTAGAGGGCACAAGCAGAAGAAAAACCGTGACTAGCAGCAAATGTTACTTCAGTGCACTGGAAAAAATGGAAGCCCAAAACATAATCCTAGAGATCATACCCTTCTGTATTTATAGAATACATTTTATAAAGTGCCATCGCCCACCCCACCCCCCAGTACCCTATAATCAGCTGGACTTTATTCTGGACTAAAACCCACGACAATCTTCTTGCAGAAAATTTCACACAGTAACTGCCACAAATTTGATGTTTTTACTGCTCTACCTTTTTCAGTTTGCTGTAAGCAGCTATGAGAGTGACAAGTCCGAAGGGGTAAACATTTTATAAATAAAACTAATAAAAACTTTGACAGCACTCTTGTCCACTCTCATAGTTTTAAACCCAATAAAGGGTAGTATACAGAGAGCCTGTCTTCACCCTAAACCTGAGAGGGTGGGGAGCTGTGCATGGGCAGCCGCCCTCTCTAAATTCACAAGGCAGAGATTATTTTGTTGGAATGCAGAACCCAAAATTCTTCTACAATGGGGTAAGAAAGAAACACCATCTTATAGAAATGCATAGCCCGTTACGGATAGCGTATAGATCAAAACGGTATTTTAAATTGGGTTAAAGTTTCAAGACACCATGTCTGCATTTTGCGTCAAAATGGGCTGTGGACACAGATACGTGCCACTCTCTGAACAAAATATACAAATATCCCACACAACCCTCATATATCTAGGTCGCATACCTGGGGCTGATTTTCAACTGGCTGTTCAGATATAGGAAACAGCTGGAACACTAAGAGGCACTTTCGGTTACATAGATCTTCTGGGAGCAGGTGGAAGATGAAGAGGAAATAGCCACACCCTCGGAAGGAGGGACTTACAAGCTTTAAAAGACAATAGTAAAGGTCAAAAAACTCAAAAGCCCTGCAAACTTGCCTCATTGCCCACAAGACATTTGATATTGCAGCACTGTTTCTTGAAAGATATCCCATTTCCACATACTTTAAAACAAATTACAATGATTATTAAGGAATTATTGAGCAATTACGACGGTGTAACCAGACATCAAATAACTAGTCTAGTTCTACACAGTCTTGTGGGAAATGGTCTAAACTGTGCAAATACAAATACATTGTGGGAAGCAGAAGACCTCTGTGCCTTTGAAAGCTCTGAGTTTCCCCCATGTTCAAAACCCCGTTTGTTCGGTTAGGCTTTTCCTAATGCTGCTCTAGCTTCTTCCCACAATCATGTGGGCCGGACTGAATCTGCTGACTAGAATGTTTGAGTCAGGAAAAAGCATCTCTGCATCTCTTAAGAAATCTGTAAGAAGAGGTCCTAAAAGTCTTATATCTGGAACAGACACATGGAATAATCCTGTGTCCATCTTCAATTACTTGCAAGGCTATAGATTTCTAACTTCTAGGCTATTTATTTTTACCTTGTGAAAATTCCTAAACTGAAATAAAGTTTGGAAGCAGGCCAGTTGCATACCCCTTCCAAAGAAGGCAGCAACTTCAGGAATTAGATATAATTTCATTTTCATTGTTCCATTTACCTATGTATCTACTTCTTTACCATAGATCTTATTGCATAGATAAGATGATTAAATGTTAGGTGTAGGAAACATGGCTGATGTACAACCCACTTAAAACTTATATAAATATGAATAATTCTTTTGAAACAAAGCAATTCTAACTTCTAGCTAAAATCTGTCTTCCATACAGCCTAGGTGCTGAAGTCTCATCCTTGGCAACCATACATGCACTTTTAGTTCCCTGTGGACCACAGGCTGGAGCACATTTGTCATTAAACAAAACCGAGATCAGTAGCATGTAAACATACTGATTCAACAGTTCTCTTGGCTGTACAGTGTTCTAGCAACATCTTTATGGGTGTAGCGGAAAGCTGTTTCTTTTATTCAGGCTTATTTCAGAAGATGCAGAGAGAAAAATATGCAAGCCAGAGATGTGATATACCTGTTTTGCTTGTTTTCCAAAACTGAATGGCACTTGACAATTAAACCTAAGAAAACAGAACTATAAGAAAGGAGAGTTACACCTTAATCTTGTGGTTCCTAAACCTAAGAAATGCCAGGTGTGACTTTCCTTATTGAAAAGGAACCAAACCCTGCTTTGAAAATAAAATGTAATCCTTTAATTTCAGTTTTCTCTCTTTTTGGCATTAGTTCCAATATCCATGAGATCAAATTTAACTTGAAGAGGCGACTGCAAGTAGGTAAAATTATATTTTGTTAGATTGCAAGCAACTTTATTTTCCTCTTTTAAAATGCAGATAAAAGCCTAAGTCATTCATAACTCTTCCCATCTGATATAAATGTAAACCTATTATTGTGCCTTATGATTTTCATGAGAAACTCAGTAGATTTCTAGGGCACTGAGGCAGGAAGCACTGAATAAAACCCTGACAACTTACATTGGGGAGCTAAGCAGGGAGTTGCTCTGCTAAATTGGAAATGTCAAACTTGCTTATCCACCCTTCTTCTGCATGCTTACTTCAAAAGCAGAGGCACTTGGCAGCTGCTCCTTCTGCTTAGGATCAACGGAATATGACAATGACTTGGGAGGATGGGAGCCAATTTCAATCTCCAGGATACTTACTGCAAGCTTCTCAGCTTCTGAATGTAGCACACATAGGAAGGAGGCCAGGTTGGCTCATCCAATCAAGAAAGCACCATCAGAGTAGTTCCTACCCCTTAATGCTGGTTGATGGGAAAGGAAGTCTCTATGGGTTGGGGTGGGACACTGAGACCCCTTAAATAAAGTATTGTGTTTTAATTTGTTGGTGTAACCCAGTCAGATGGGTGGCATATAAACAACATACTACTACTACTAAAGGGTTAAAATGTCCAGCATGGCATGCTTAAGGTCATCCCCTCTTGCAATTAATCTTTTGGAACTGCTGCTCCCCCAGCCTGGGCTGCACCTGGATGATTTGAAAGAGCCATAAACAATGACTAAGCCTAACTTGTTCACACTTAAATCAGCTTGTTGATGAGATTAGTGAACCAAACCGCTGACAGGTTTTACCTGCAGCAGCACATCATCCGACTTAAGTAGCCAAAGCCAACCCTATTTGTAGCAAGGATGGCTACACATGGTTACACAAAAATATGTGTCTGCAGCATGTCACAAAAGTGAAGCAGATGCTACTTTATTCATATTAGACCCAGCAATCAATCAATACAATACATATTTAAGTTTTTTATTTCATTATCTGGAAAAATAAATAGAAGTTTATAAAAGCAAAAGTCTCATAGAGCTCTTTTGTGTGAAGCCAGTCCCTTAAGTTCTTTGTATCACTAGAACTGTAGAATATTGCACTCATTTATCAGGATTACTGCAATAAAAGGGAAATTTCTCATGATACAGGCAAATAAGCTAGAAAGATATATACATATTGTCATATAGGGTGGTTAAGATATCTCAATTAATTTGTTTTAAAAGTCTGCACAAAGCACAATGCAGATTGTAACAATCCATCACTTTCCTGAAGACAGAGTACCATCATAACCATCATGTTTTGAGAACAAAACATTCATGGAAGATTAAAGCACCAAGAAACAGGGCTAATCCTTGTTCTTCAATAAGTAATGTCCTTCAACTGACTTTCTTCAGACATCCACATAGTCATATGCCTGTTCTAGGAAAGCAAACAGTGTCTTCATTTCTTCTGATTCTTGTATGGTGTTTATGTCATTAAGAAGACCTTCTTGGTTCCTGACCTTCAGAAGCTCATCCTACAGAATGTGAAAGGGGAGAAAGTTTAAGATCGTATGAGGAAAACAAAGGATTTTCAGGTAGGAAAAATCAGTGCAATTTCCAGCAAAGCTTCAAGTAGCTCAAGGATGCAAAGAGGGCAGACAAAATTAAGGAGCAGCAAGCCTTAATACACAAGAAAGAATGGTTTCTGGACAGCCTTCTCCACCCAGGAACTTTTCAAATGTTACTGAATTACAGCTCCCACACCACTGACTGCTTGCCACACTGGCTAGGATTGATGGGAGCTGTTCATTATCATCTAGAGGCCACCAGGCTGAGGGAGGCTGGGTTTAGGAAATACCATTTAATCACTGTGTGAACAACAAGAAAGGTGCTGGCTCTGGAACAAAATAGAAAAGATACTTTTGCAAGAAGCGATTTTTAAGAGCAGCTTCCTCTTCACTCTCGGGAGGCTTCTGAAACAGCCCTCCCGCCACTCACCTGAAGAATGGGTGCTGTGAGTCGGTACTGTGCAACATCAGGAAGACCAAGATCATCACTGCCATTTGCCTGGATTAACTAGAGAGGGAAGAGAGGAAATATCTGCATCTGTATTGCATATTTTTTTTTAAAAAATCCATCTTTTGCTGCCCTGGGCTCCTTTGAGAGGAACGGCATGCATGCATGCATATATCAAACATCTACCTCATTCCTCCCCTGTGTACTTGAACTAAATCATATCTAATATGTTATTTATAATATACTTATATACTGCTATATTCCAATATATTTAGCTATACCTCCTCTTCAAACTGCTATGTCAACGATACGCCTTCAGCAATCCTGAATTCATTCTTCCATGGACTCAAGAGTCTGGGCAGATGGGGCTCGTCAACCTGAGGGGTAGTTAATCTAGGACAACTCTGATTCTAAACTTCCACTGCCTTGCATTATCTTTGGGAAAGGAGTAGTAAACCCTACACAAATCCGGACCTAAGACAGTTGGATGATGCCTTATATGCCTCCTTCTGGCAACTCCTGCAGCCAAGCTGGCACCAAACATATTGCTCTGCTTTCGCTTGGACCACATCAGCGAGGCCGAGAGGCAGGTCTTGTCGTCAGGACAGCCCAGGACCTGCACACACACTGCCCAGGCTTGTGTCCCGGAGAGGTAACTTCGGTGCTGCGAACACTGCAGTTTGACTTCATCCCCAGAGACACACTCCATTGTCCTTTGAGACAAGCCCAGTTCATCGTGCCCAGACTCAAAATTCCATCCCCATCTCAGAGATACCTCATTTGCTGTTGCTTTCTCTGTAGCCAGCTGACATTTTAATTTGTGTATTTTGTTCTGGAGACGTTGAATATTTCCTTCATGGAGATCTGCTGTGGACGAAACTTTGTTTATTTCTTCCTGCATTTAAAAGGAAAATGAAACTTAAGAAATATATTTAAAGCAAGGAACCATCTGTGTAGCAAACATTCTGCCAGGATTAGATTAGCTCCCACTGCTACATATCGGTTATGAAGATGAAGCAGCTCAAGTATTCGCCATCTTTCATGATTCATTCTACAGAATAGATTGCAAAAGATCTCTTTTCTACTTGAACAGAAGGAACACTTGTCTGATAATACATAATAGTTTATAATATGTAACCTGGGAAGCAAGGGCTAATTTGATGATTCACAAATATTAACTCTTATCAATAATTTGTGGTGCCATGGTTGAGTCCATTACTCCAATTTCCACCTCTCTTACTTTGAAGAATGCCATAAAAACTGGCAGCATGAAGCAGATTTTGTATGGTAACCAATAAAGATGGTCTAGGCATAATGATTTTGGAAAATACAATAGCTCCATCTGTACCAAAAAGCTTTACATTTCCCCTCAGAGAGGGGTGCAGAAGTGTAGCATTACGGCATGAAGGGGTGAAATAATTTGAAATATCTTGCAATAATAACACAAAACCTTTATGAATACCAATTGAAGCACTATAGAGTAGTGAGGAAGTTTTCAGGTTTCAAATCACCTAAAGCTCATAATCTTCTTAATTCACAGAACGGATTAGTCCTTTGCTGTGTACTCAGATGATATGCCATGGAAATCCCCAATATGTACCCTCTCTTCCTTCCTCACCTGCAGTTTTGCCAAACCCTCTTCAAGAGAAACACTCTTTTCCTTTTCCTCTGCTAGCATCTTATGCACGTTCTTCAGGCTGCTCACCTTCTCCACAGGAACCTTTAGGGTCTCAAAATGTTTGACGAGCCTTGCGCAAAACGATAAACAAGATTCTCACCTTGTGTAATGTTTATACTTATGGAAAGGACAATACTATATTACTGTATTACTAGAGTTCTCACAAGCCTTACTTACTTGAAGTACTGAACAGCACATAAATATTTTCTGCTTTGGACTGAGGGAGAAGAGAATGTTCAATATAATCCAAATGGTCAACCCATATGGCGAACTTCTGTTTTCACATGGACCACTTTATTCTCCAAACAACAGGCTAAAAGGTCTAAATGTCTTTTATTACATAGACTGACCCCCCT